TTATGTTCCACATCCCGCCCTTGTCCGCTGGTTTATAAATCACCACTTCCCTTAGTGACCAAACCCTTCAGCTTTGCTTCCAATTCACCACGTTCCCAACTGTGGCCACCAAGGTTCTGCTGTCCCGTGTCCACGGTGGGATGGGGAAACACACAGGGTCTGGTCCCATGGGAATGCTGCCCAGGAAGCACAGGGAGCTCATCTGTGCCTGCAGCAGAGGGAGATCCCTTCCCAACAGCCCCGGCTGCGCTCGGTGTGTCCCGACGTTCCCACGCTGACACAGCACAGCTTCCTCTGCCCCCTGCCTTGGGAAGCGTCCCTAAGGTGCCACCAGGAAAGGAGCTCTTACACAGAGTCTTGGGATTCAGGGGAAGAAAAGGAGTTCTCAGTCTTTAGCATCTCCCACTCCGTCGGCATTGATGGCAAACATGGCTTCAGCCTCGGGCAGACACGGGGAGTCATAGATTTTACAGATCCGGGTCTCACCTCGGCCTTTCCGCAGGTACAGCCTGGCAGGGAGAGGGAAGAAAACAGGTCAGGATGCACAGCCTGCTCCCAGAAAATCATCCTAATCCATAGAGGAGTAAACAGAGCTGTACAAACTGCCTGAGACATTCATTTCCCTGAGGACTGAGGGCTCAGGAGGGAAGCACGGGCTGGGATCTTTCCCTGACTCAGCTGCCGTGGCCGAGGCCTGGAACAGCAGCTGGGTCTGGTAGTTGCTGTTAAAGCCCCAGCAGAGACCACCTTGTCCAGGATGTCACGGCCAGAGGTCATTCCTGCAAAATCAGGTGAAAGAAAGGGATAAACCTGGAGTTAGCCAGGAGCTTTGGTCCAAAAGACTGGAAGAAAAACTCACGCCCCCAGCAGAGATAAAAACAGATGGAAAAGATGCAACCCGTGGTGATGAAAAGAGAATGGAATTATTGGAACCATTTGAAATGGATAAAAGGAAACGGCCTCATGTGATCCCAGGGGAGGTTTAGACCTTTCAGCCATAGCCAGGAGCCACTCTGAATGGAAGGTCCCCTCTGTGTCCATGGACACGGCTTTTCCCTCACTGAAACCCAATTCTTACAGTAAATTAATCCCAAGATTTTGCTCCTCCATTCTGCCACAGTTCACATCAAATACCACTGGATTTGGAGCCTTCCAGTGGCCAGGGCAGCTCTGGGTGCCACAGGCAAGACCTTGGTGGAGACTTTCCCTTGTCAGCAATTGCCAAGGGACTCTCAAAACACCTATCCTGCTGTTTTCAATCATGGAACTGGTGGGATTCTCAACCCTGCAATAGGCAGAAGCAACCATAACCCTGGCCTTTCCTCACTAGGACTTTCAAAATAAACCAAGGTTTTATGTGTCTGTTCAAATTACCTTCCAAGGCACAGATCTGTCCTTCCACATCAGGCAACAGCCAAGGGGTGATGGGAGGAAAATAAATGGCAACACAGGGACACAGGAAAATGGGAACATGGTTCTCAGAAACACAGAGTCCATCCCCTCAACCTCTCCTGGGATCTTCCCCTCTTGCTGTGAAATCTGCAGGGAAGTTCCCTTATTTCACCAGCCCAAAGGGAACTAAATTACTCAAACTCAGGAAGATGACAAAACCCCAACACCAGTCCTCAGGGAACAGGACCCTGTCCCTTGTCACCACTTGAGAGCACCGCTGGGAGCAAGGACTATTCCAGATCAGTTCACACCCCTGGGCACACCTGGAGCAGGAGCTGAGGGATGTTGAGGGGTTTTATGTCCTTTGATTAGGGCAGGAGGAACAGGGTGAATTAGAAACATGACAAACAACTGGTCCCGTTGTAAATTTGTTCACAAAAAAGGTTAAAGCAAGGTTCTCAGTTGCACTGCAAGAAACCACAAAGCAGCTTTTTAGATCCCTTGGCTGGGATTCTGTGATCCCTCCTCTCATTCATCCTGCAGAAGAACTGCAGAAATCCCAGTTTTTCCCAAAGAGAAAGTGAGATTTCAAAAGCTGAAGGGAGACTCTTGGCTCAGGGGGAAAGAGGAGATCCCCCACTCTCTTCCAGGGCCCTCCTGTCTCCAAAACTGTGGAGATCTCCCTGTACACATTTGTTCCTGATGGTATTCTGAAGGTTCAGATGTCATCACTCTATGGCTCCAACAGAGAATTTAAGCTTGTTCTTTAGAACTAAAATACAAAGCTAAGCACTTTTCTGAGCTCCATTTACAGAGTTAATAAAAATGCTGAGCCACACCCCTGTTTTCCTTACAATTTCCCCCTCCTGTCCCCCTGTGCCCCCTCATTAGACAAGGCTAGAATGGCAACACACATTCCCAAAGTCTGGATGCTTCCTTAAATCCACAGACCAGTTAGTGCTGTCTCTGAGCA